CATCTTGGTTATCTTGATGAATGGGCGGATTGGCTATTCCAATTCTAAAAATTTCAATATCTTATCGATGACCCCCTTGCATTACCGGGCATGAGTAGTTTTGTTTTAGAATTGATAGTAGAGTTCAACTAATACCCTCGATGAAAATAATTATGACAAAAATATTTAGAAGATGGTATAATATCAAGTCTAATATGTTTTAATTAGACTTAAATACTAGTTCATCAAGTCTAATTGGATTAACACGATATCCCCTAAATGTTAAATAAATATGTCCCATTAAAATTCAAACGATAAAAGATATAAATGATAAAAATAAATTAATGAAGTTATGTTATTTGTTCAAAAAATGTATATACATAATACATTATCGTACTTGTCAGTGACGGATCCAATATGACATGTGGGGACTAGAGTCCCCACTCAACTTTTGAAAAAAGTCTGCATCTTATTTATTTAAATTTTATACTATAGAATTATGAATTTTGGGAACAGCTCCATGGTTAGTTTGGATTTTATTTTTGTAAAACCTTATTTTTAATCCTAGTTATATATTACATATCTTTTGTGATTTTTATTTTTATGCAAAAGGATTGTTAGTTTTTAAAAGTTTTATTATGAGTGAAAATGAAAGGAATAAAAACTGTTAGGTTTGCATTTAATTGAGGGGAGAAATCTGAGCATTTTTCATCAGAAAACTAATGTGGCGAGGTCATGGTGAGAATAAGAGAATCTTGCAGCAGCAGTTTCATAATTCAAAGAATTTGTTTTATTATAAACTGGGTGTTTTGCAAAAATGAGAAAAAGAGAGAAAAACCATAAAGAAGAAAGGAAGAAGAAGCAAAGGAAAAGAAAAAAAGAAGAGAGGGAAGAATGGGTTTGGTCAGTTTTATCTATTTGATTTTTCTGTACTTGAGTTGATGGTACTTGAGAATCAGATTGAGATTTATATTATTGACATACATCTTGTGATAAATTTGCTGATACAAAGATTGGTGATTTAGTTAAGAATTTAGTTCGGTTTAAAATTTTTTTTTACATAGTTGGTGTATAAGCTTGTGAAAGTTGCATTGGTTTTATCATTGCGATTGCACTGTTGAAAGGGTTTTTCACAATGAATCTTGTGAAAAATCGGTTATGCAATCAAATAGGAGATTAATGGATGATGATTGCTTGGTCATCTATATTGAGAAATATGTATTTGATACAATTGACTGAGAAATTATCCAACGTTTTCAAAATAAAAACTAGTTAAGGACACTTGTAAAAAATTATTTATTTTTACAAAAATTATGTTTTTGAAAATATTTATTTGTATTTTAAAACTTTCTATTGAAGCTCACTGTAATAAAATGAAAAAAAAAAAAAAAAAGTGTAGTTATTATTGGTTTAATTTTCTTTTTTTAAGTTATATTTTGCCTCCATTGAGGAAAATTCCTAGACCCGCCAGGGTACTTGTTATACAAACATTTCACTGAATTATTTTCACTTATATCTCACTTAATCTCATTATTCATGTTGCAAAACTTCGGCATTACACTCTTATGTTCATCAATGACAATAGTACAATAATGTGGAAAAATCTCCTGAACTCTTCAAAGATGCTAACATAACTCAAAGTAAGCATAATTATAACCATAAATAATATACAAATGCTGTAAAAATAACCAATAAAAGGTAGCTACCATGATAGAATCTCCCTTTGAAGGACTCTTGCAAGAAGAGGAAAAAAATAAAAGGGAGAATGACTACAGTATACAGAGATGATCATTGTTTACAATTGTTTACAACATACAATGGGAGCTTTATGCAAATCTTCCATATTATTTGACGGTATCTACTGATGAGATAAGTTACATAATCAACAAAAAAATTAAAAACAAAAACAGTTAATCCAAGTCTCTGATGAGGGTATCCTTCTATCAACTTCAATACTTCTTTTCACCCTTTTTACCTTCAAGAGAGAGATGCATGAGACTGTTTCTATTATCTTCAGCAACAGGCAACTCTATAAAAGGTTAATGCCACATCGACACTGTACTGAAAACTTGCTGCCCCTAAAATTTATATCCAGCTAATCTTCTGAAACAAATTTCTTCTCTTTGTAGTATTTCTGCTCGCTCACTGCTTTCTTGGCATTGCGTTTCTGCATTTAAAGTCAGGTATAACAAGTTATATCATCCTCCTCGAATCAGAAATCCAGATAAGCCAGAACTAACAGAATTTTCTGCAAAACCTAAGTCCTAATGTTTTGGTGGAAGCGTAGCCAAGAAAGCATCCAGAAATGCTCTACTTATAAATGCACAACCTATGTAGCGGACAAAGAGTTCGAAACCATATACAGATTTTACTTATCACTGCAACTTGCAAGGTCAATCTTATTTCAATGCATGATAGAGCAATCGCTGATCATATTTCACATTACTACTATATTCTGGGAAAGGCTACCGTCTTGAAACATTTGTTATACGTGCGAAAAATAAAATAAGTAAAGGGAAGAATGGTGAAATACCGTGTAGGCATCGTGGTTGGCAACATCCTTTGGGCCACTGAAGTGGAGTTATACTTTTAGGACTCTCGAGTAACTGGAAAATTCCCATACTCTTGGGAACTGCATATGGTCAGTTTCATCCTGCATAATGCAAATTATTTGTATAGAAGATCAGTTTTTGATTGCATGTCGACGAAGGCAGATGTAATTATGATCAGAAAAGACAGAATTTGCGTGCTTACAATCAAGAAGAGTTGGTCTCGCAATTGTCCCACGCACAACCAAACTGATGTTGAAAGTGGTTATCTGTGAAGTTGAAGAAAAAAATGTCAAAGGATTTCGGTAAAAAAATTACACGGTAAATCAGAGCCAAAGCTATTTAAATGATGCAAATTGGGTGATTAACACGAAAGGGAAACCAACGCCTTGCTACCAATTACATGAGATGCAAATTTTTAAATAGTTATTAATGAAAAATAAATATTCGACCAGTCGTGGATTAGAGAAACGAGTTCAAAGCATCACATTACAACTTAAATACATAGAACTGGCAAGTGCCCGATTAAATATATCGATTCTACAACTATATAGCATATGTGAAAAGTAAATTTAGATAGAATACATACCACATCCTTAGTAACTTCCAAGGTGCGCCAATGATGACTTCATCAACATAACGACAAGCCACACACTGAGACAACGCTCATGTAGATTCATAATCGGTGGTGATTACCTCTGTGTGTCACTGCATGAAACAGTAACTAGTTACCTTATTTGTAACATTTCCTCTCAGTGATAGCATGTATGAGCCCACACTTGTGCTCTCAAATTCCACAACTATTCTTAGGATGAATGCAGAATAGACCATGATGAGAAGTGAAATAATAACTTTAATTACCTCACAATCTGGTCAGTGTGGACTCCAACTAGAAGAAAATCTCCAAGCTGCTTAGCCTTCTTAAGAATCTGATTAGCTACTTAGGGAGACTGTAGGAGTTGGTGATCTAGCCATGTGAGAAGGTTCCAGGCTGGTTGGTCCGAGTGATGCTTTTGGCAATTCCTACAACAATTAGTTTGGCTATTCTCTATGCATGGGTGTTATAAGATTTTGCATTGGATTGACTGAGACTTAGAATCGTGAGTTAGGTGCTTGTTGGTGAGGTGGTGACTTGGTCTCCAACGTCGATCGAAAGAGGCTCCTTGCTTCCAGTTGCGTAGCAAGTCATTTGTAGTAAGATGATTGTTAGAGCCCCACGATGGGCGTCAAACTGTAGATGCAAAAAATCTACTGTCATGAAAATAGGGCCTGATCCCGTGAGGTTGAGGCTACTAACATTTCGCTAGACCTGCACACATGAAAGGGCAAGCGTGAAGCTTCCGGAAAACACCGGGGTGGTGTTTGCCATAGGCACTCTGACGCTCAAGTCAGCAAGGCTGGAAAAGATTTAATAAGAATTAAGGAGAAGAATATTTACCAGGCGTCTTGTCGGAAGCTAGGACTACGGCAGATGCGTCGGGTTCTTGGGAGCAAGAACTTTAGGAGCAAATAGATGGTTTTGAGTAGTGTAGATTGACTGTGGGAGATTGTATCCCTAATGAGAGGGCAAACCTTTGTTTTTATAGTGAACCTAAGGGGTTGGAATCTTAGTAGGACATTGAGTCATCTTTTTTGGGAGATAATCCCTATCAAGAAAGAAATATAATTTCTTGACCTTATCAGATTAAGTTTACTATTTGAGTAAGGTTCAAAATCTTAGCAGAAGAGAAAATAGAATATGACTCTGATTTTCTATTTATGGACTGTTATAGGCTAATGAGCTGCAACCCAATTCAGCTTAACTTGTAAGATAGCCCAACTCATAAAGTGGGTAGTTCACAAAGTGATTTTAAGCGTAGACCCAATCGATATTGGACTGAGGCCTTGGATCGTGTCATGTTTATTTCGTTATTGGGCATTGTTAAGCCCAAGACGATTTTTTGCTGTAACAATTTTTTTTCATAAATTCTATTCTAATAAGTTCTTCTATAAACTATACCCATATAAGCGTTATCAAACCGACCCAAACATGGTATAAAAAGATTTAAATAACTTAAACGTGTTATAAACAAGTTAAACATGTTACAAACGATAAACCGAACTATTAAGTTGTCTTACAACACAAATATTTCATATTTATTAAACAAATTACATGGGTCAATATTTCATGTGATCCATTTAGTATCCGTGTTGCGACCTTTGATTCTATAATTAAACGGGTCGATTATAAGTTGACCAAAATTTTATATTATTTTTTATTTCCAAAATTTACTATCCCCTTAGTTGATTTTGGAAAAAAAAATTATATTATAATAAATCATACCAATAAACAGTGAACCGACTCAAAAACCATATAATACTAGAAGAATAAATCTAATATTAATTAGACCGGATATTTATTTAAAAAAATATTTGCTATTAAATTGTTAAATAATTTTTATTTTCATTATTCAATAAAATTACGTTAAGAAATTGCTAGTGCTGTTCTGGATACCTCTAGACGTCAGTCAGAAACTTCTCCACTTCTTCTTCTTTCTTCAAAAAAATTCATTAATCTTATTCTCTCGCTTTAACAACAACCCACCTCCCACAATCTCTCACCGAATCGCAAAATCCATTACAAGCCACTATACTCGATTCAAGAAACAAAGCGAAAAAAAAAATGGTGGGCAATGGTAACAATTACCTCCCTATGAAGATGATGATGAAGAGAAAAGAAATTGATCTTGATGAAGTCAGTGACGACTTCCATGACTTCTCTCTTTCTTCCCCAGCTCGAAAGATTCGCCGCCTGGTAATGCTTTAGTTTCTTTTCTTGTTTTTTTGTTGGGTTTTTAGTTGATGGTTGTGTTTGTAGAAGTGAATTTTATGTGGATTTGGTTGAAATTTTGCATGTAGAATGCGCAGTTGCCGCCGATTATGGAGGAGGACAGGGAGCAGGATAGTCTGCATGTGGGTTCATTGCCGATTGTCGAAGAAGATGTCGTTTCGGAGATGGCGTCTTTGGGTGATCCTGTTAATGAAGAGAGGGCCATTGTTTTGTACAAGCCTCGAATGCCGACTTCTCCCAGTGTTACTGTGAATTTGGATTCTTTCAACTTGGTTTCTGGGTTTAAGAGTGAGTGATCAAAACCCCTTTTTATATGTAGTTGAAATTTCGTTATATTGAAATGACCCATATTGATTTTAGTTCAGACTGCTATTTTTATTGAGAATAAGAAGTTATATTGAGATGTCAAAAGCTCAGTTGTTGAAGATTCAGTGCTACTAGGGTTCAGTTTTGCTATTCAATTTGGCTTCTGTTGTCATATTTTTACTGTACCATATAATATCAAGTGGGTTTAACTGCTGGGTGTAATTTATTTATGGGTTAGTACATCTATAACTGAGTTTTCTGTTCATCAGAGATTACGGATTCGGTTCAGCTGTAGAACCCTGCTCTTTTGAGCCTCGTATACGGCCTCTTGAGAGATTTTTTTCCCCAAGTTCTCTAGCTGTTTTGAGATATATGTATTGGAGTGTGAAAATGTTTTCTTATAATGTAGATTACATTAGCATTTTAGCTGCTTTCTTGCGTGTGATTGAACAATCCTGAGGAGTGTTATGGGCTATTGTTTTGTTATTTGGTCACAATGTGAACCAAGGTTTGTGAAGATAAGTTTTTGTCTTGGATCATAAGTAATATAGAAGTGCGTTTGAGGTTGTGCGGGGTAGGAAGCATCTCAATTTATCATTGTGTTTTCAGATTTTTTTTTTTTAAAGGTTATAACCAATTTTCCTTCAATTTAGAGTTTTGATGGTGGATGCTACAGAATGCTAGTATATTAGAATGATCAGTCTCTGTTGATGGTTGTAATTTTTTATCTAACTTGGTAGCTGTGCTCTGCAGATCAAATTCTTCGGGCAAGCCAAACCAGGAACACGAAATTGGTTGAGGATGAAGAATATTTGCATGACGAAAACAATGCAACAACAGACAAATGTTTAGCCGTTGTGCCCTGGGTTCCTTCCCAGTTTCCCGTTGCCTCTAACTCAGGCATGGATGCTTCCCAAATGGAGCCATCAGATTTGATGGAAGCTGATGATATGGAAGAAGCAGCAATGGACATTGAAGAGAACAATAACTCTAGCATAGAGCAAGGCCAATCAAATGAATTTGGTGGAATGAGGGAGGGTGAGGGCTTACCTCAATGGCCCCAACAGCACTGCCTGATCCCCCAGTTTCCTCAAAGCACTTCCACGCCCATCACGTGGTTCCAGTAACAAGCACTAGTACGGTATATATTTTCCTCCATCTCATAGTTTCATTATGCTATGGAGTTCTAAGCAGGATTAGTTATGTGAAGGTTAGATCTCACTAAAATGGCGAATTGGGGATGGTAGGGAAACTCCTTTTTGTGGCCATTTGTGATTTGAGGGTGATTGTTGATATGTGCTTTTTAATGAAAAGCATGTATAAAGTAATGAAAATGGTGTAGTAGTGGTAGTGGTTGTATAATGTGAAAGCCAAAATCAAATGTTGGTGTAGTGCGGGAGCAATGGTGGGATTTTTTGTTTTGGAAGATCGGTATAAAATCCCTTAAAGATGTTGCCCTGTTAATTGCTTCAATGCTTTTTGATTTGTTTAATGCAAGAGCAAGGTGGCTTTTGATGTTCTTCATGGCTTATCTTCTAGATCAATTATTTTGATAACAAGAACTTCAATGATAAATGTTGAGAAAATGTCGACTTGCTGAATTTCAAGTCATGAAAAACTGTCGTACTTAATTGCAAACATTAATGTCAATAAAATTTCAGTATCTGACAGCATTATATTTCAATAAGAGTTGTCTTAACCTTTGATATGTTTTAAGGGTATACGTCAAGACAATGTTTTAATAACCAATCTTGGGGTGAAACCGGTAAAGTTGTTGGGTCTTGGGTTGATCAGTTTGACCGATTGGGTGACAAAACTTTTAAAATTTAGCAAATATATTCTCAAAAATTATAGTTAAGTTTTTATAGGTTTAAAATTTAGCAAACATATTTCAAATGCAAATTAGTTGGCGATACCTTAAATGCAATCTTAATTGTCTTTTGAGCTCATTCCCTCAAAAATGTAGCCAAGATTTGGTCGAAATCGGTTCGATTTCTATTAGATCTCACCGATACCGGCATCGACATTTCGGGTCCGATCTCACCGACACTGGTGTCGACCACCCTTCCCATCACGCTGAAAATATTCCCACTTCCTCCTGACTGAAACCCATCTCACCCCACCTTTGTTAGCTTTGCTAATCGTCGGCAAAAGCTAGCTTTTGTTATCGTCAGTTTTTTTCGATTTTTGGTCGATTCACTCACTGGAAATCAATCCCGTTGCCACCATGACACTTATCGACACTTTCAAAAACTTCAATATCCCCACCTTTAATTGTTCGTCGATCATCCACCCAAATTCTAGGATTTTGGGTGGATAGGGAAAATGTTAACCTGTCCAGTGAAGCTTCCGAGTCTTGGTTAAATTGGTTAAATCGGTCGGTCTAAGCCAGGTTTTAAAACAGTGCGTTAAGATATCAAATACATCACTATGATAAATATTTTGTCCATTCGTGGTCTTAATGTGTGCCAACAAACATTAAAACAACTCTTTCAACAATATGAGGAATAATCATTTTTTTTATTTCTTGTTAGTCTGAGGTCATGGACTCCTATGCTGATATTTTGTATTGTAGTAACTTCATTTAGACTACTTGTGTACTTTACTTTCAGGTTGTGGGGGAGCTATGACTAGAAATCATATTATGTTTGTATTCACATGTGAGTGGTACTGTATCTTTGTTATTCACATGATACTTGAGGATACTGAACACATCACTTGACTGCAACATTTGAGAAGAATAATATTAGCACTGTTTGCTCATTCCCCATGTGAAATATGTACTGTCAAGGTCTCTTAGATNAGGTTTTAAAACAGTGCGTTAAGATATCAAATACATCACTATGATAAATATTTTGTCCATTCGTGGTCTTAATGTGTGCCAACAAACATTAAAACAACTCTTTCAACAATATGAGGAATAATCATTTTTTTTATTTCTTGTTAGTCTGAGGTCATGGACTCCTATGCTGATATTTTGTATTGTAGTAACTTCATTTAGACTACTTGTGTACTTTACTTTCAGGTTGTGGGGGAGCTATGACTAGAAATCATATTATATTTGTATTCACATGTGTGTGGTATTGTGTCTTTGTTATTCACATGATACTTGAGGATACTGAACACATCACTTGACTGCAACATTTGAGAAGAATAATATTAGCACTGTTTGCTCATTCCCCATGTGAAATATGTACTGTCAAGGTCTCTTAGATAGTTAAATCATAAATGTACTTTAAGCAATAAAAATGTTACCAAAATTGTTTTATATTACCAACTTTTATATTACACATCTTTCACCAAGAGAAATTGAGTCATCAAAATAACTGATATATATTATATATGTATAACTAATCATCTCACAAGTGCATTATATTGTTGAAAAAATAGAACTAGTTATAAAATAATTTACGGGACTCAACAGAGCCATTTTACAAATAATTTCTTGGTAGGAACGAGTTATGATGGAATACATCTTGGTTATCTTGATGAAATGGGCGGATTGGCTATTCCAATTCTAAAAATTTTCAATATCTTATCGATGACGCCCCTTGCATTACCGGGGCATGAGTAGTTTTGTTTTAGAATTGATAGTAGGAGTTCAACTAATACCCTCGATGAAAAATAATTATGACAAAAATATTTAGAAGATGGTATAATATCAAGTCTAATATGTTTTAATTAGACTTAAATACTAGTTCATCAAGTCTAATATGGATTAACACGATATCCCCTAAATGTTAATAAATAAATATGTCCCATTAAAAATTCAAACGATAAAAGATATAAATGATAAAAATAAATTAATGGAGTTGCTATTATTTGTTCAAAAAACGTATATACATCATCGTACTTGTTATACAAACATTTCACTGAATTATTTTCACTTATATCTCACTTATATCTCAATTAATTCATGTTGCAAAACTCTCTGGCATTGCACTCCTATGTTCATCAATGACAATAGTACAATAATGTGGGAAAAATATCCTAAACTCTTCAAAGATGCTAACATAACTCAAAGTAAGCATAATTATAACCAATAAATAATATACAAAATGCTGTAAAAATAACCAAATAAAAGGTAGCTACCATGATAGAATCTCCCTTTGAAGGACTCTTGCAAGAAGAGGAAAAAAAGAAAAGGGAGAATGACTACAGTATACAGAGATGATCATTGTTTACAATTGTTTACAACATACAATGGGAGCTTTATGCAAATCTTCCATATTATTTGAAGGTTATTACTATGAGATAAAAGTTACATAATCAACAAAAAAATTAAAAACAAAAACAGTTAATCCAAGTCTCTGATGAGGGTATCCTTCTATCAACTTCAATACTTCTTTTCACCCTTTTTACCTTCAAGAGAGAGATGCATGAGACTGTTTCTATTATCTTCAGCAACAGGCAACTCTATAAAAGGTTAATGCCACATCGACACTGTACTGAAAACTTGCTGCCCCTATAAAATTTATATTCCAGCTAATCTTCTGAAACAAATTTCTTCTCTTTGTAGTATTTCTGCTCGCTCACTGCTTTCTTGGCATTGCGTTTCTGCATTTAAAGTCAGGTATAACAAGTTATATCATCACTCCTCGAATCAGAAATCCAGATAAGCCAGAACTAACAGAATTTTCTGCAAAACCTAAGTCCTAATGTTTTGGTGGAAGCGTAGCCAAGAAGAGCATCCAGAAATGCTCTACTTATAAATGCACAACCTATGTAGCGGACAAAGAGTTCGAAACCATATACAGATTTTACTTATCACTGCAACTTGCAATGGTCAATCTTATTTCAATGCATGATAGAGCAATCGCTGATCATATTTTCACATTACTACTATATTCTGGGAAAGGCTACCGTCTTGAAACATTTGTGTATACGTGCGAAAAATAAAAATAAGTAAAAGGGAAGAATGGTGAAATACCGTGTAGGCATCGTGGTTGGCAACTATCCTTTGGGCCACTGAAGTGGTAGTTATACTTTTAGGACTCTCGAGTAACTGGAAAATTCCCATACTCTTGGGAACTGCATATGGATCAGTTTCATCCTGCATAATGCAAATTATTTGTATAGAAGATCAGTTTTTGATTGCATGTCGACGAAGGCAGATGTAATTATTGATCAGAAAAGACAGAATTTGCGTGCTTACAATCAACAAAGAGTTGGTCTCAGCAATTGTCCCACGCACAACCAAACTGATGTTGAAAGTGGTTATCTGTGAAGTTGAAGAAAAAAATGTCAAAGGAGTTTCGGTAAAAAAATTACACGGTAAATCAGAGCCAAAGCTATTTTAAATGATGCAAATTGGGTGATTAACACAGAAAGGGAAACCAACGCCTTGCTACCAATTACATGAGATTGCAAATTTTTAAATAGTTATTAATGAAAAATAAGATATTCGACCAGGCGTGGATTAGAGAAACGAGTTCAAAGCATCACATTACAACTTAAATACATAGAACTGGCAAGTGCCTGATTAAATATTATCGATTCTACAACTATATAGCATATGTGAAAAGTAAATTTAGATAGAATACATACCACATCCTTAGTAACTTCCCAAGGTGCGCCAATGATGACTTCATCAACATAACGACAAGCCAGCACACTGAGACAACGCTCATGTAGATTCATAATCAGGTGGTGATTACCTCTGTGTTCACTGCATGAAACAGTAACTAGTTACCTTATTTGTAAACATTTCCTCTCAGTGATAGCATAAGTATAGAGCCACACACTTGTGCTTCAAATTCCACAACCATTCTTAGGATGAATGCAGAACAGAACCATGATGAGAAGTGAAATAATAACTTTAATTACCTCACAATCTGGTCAGTGTGGACTCCAACTAGAAGAAAATCTCCAAGCTGCTTAGCCTTCTTAAGAATCTGATTAAGCACAGGCATAGAATGTTATGACAGTCACCAACTGTGGAATTAGAATTTAAGAATACAAGGATGCTTGCTACAATAATCAATAGAAACACAATACCTCTACATGTCCTGCATGAAAGAGATCAAATGCCCCATCAATATACACCACACGAGCATTTGGTCCAGGTCCCTGAGATTAGAAAAAAAAAAAAAAAAAAAAAAAAAAATTAAGACACTTAGAGATAGATAACCAATCTATGCATCCCAAAAAAATTTGACCCTAAATATAAGAGGACACTAGAGAATACAAGTAATACCTTGCAATTTGAAAATTGCACAATCCTACGGGATGTTGGCAGAAATTGAGATATGTTGGCACTCTTGGATTGAATTGCTTTCTGGGGATTTACAGGCAAGGATTTACCATTACAATATTCATGAGCTTTTATATCATCCATAGAAGAAAGTATCCTCCCTACATGTAAATAACTTAAGCATCATTAGAAACAGAAACATATATACATATAATCTCAAGAAAATTAAATGATGCTCAATTGTGCTTGAGCCAAATCTTTCCAAGGAAGTCTAGATAAAATTATCCAGGTGAAGCAACAGCAGTGACAGAAAGAGCAAGAACATTTTCTATTTAAAAGAAATTTACATCTTCTCATGTCCTCATTTGCATATGATTCATCTGACTTCATATTCACCCTAAAAAGTGCTGTAGGCATATCTAATTATATGAGAAAAAAATCCTCTTTCCTGAAAAATCATAGTCGTTTGTCACAAGAGATTGATCAAGAGAATGTTAGTACCTACAATATCTGTGCTGGAGACGCCTTCTGTGCGCTTAATCTGCTTGTAGCGGCCAACTTTCTTTGCCAAAGCATAAGCATCAGTTCCATCTGGAAGCAGGCACGGATCATCACCATGTATGATGTAGTCAATCTTGTGCTCAGTGAAGAGGCGGTTCATGAACTGCTCAGTAATAGCATAAGGAGCATTGGCTATAACTTCATCCACCCACTTTAATCCACTAACAAGGGCCAACCTAGAAAATACACCAAGTGTAAGATCAAAAGACATTTGATAGTCCAGCTAACGATCTGTCCACCAGTGACTTTTGATAGTATAGCTAACAATCTGTCCATCAGGCAATGATTGGATCGTCTTTCAACATGGACACTGGTGAAATAACCTAACACTTCTACCTGCATGCCAACATCTCTACTTCCTTGAAGGGAATAGACACATATATATTTTAACTATATATATAAGCATGTTATGCATCAGACCTTTTGAATGGCTGAAAGTACCCTTTATTTGAAATTTTGACAGAATCATTAAGACTACATAAATAGTTCCAAATAAATTTCTTTTCAGTCCCAGAATATCTTTTAACGTGATTGGTCTCATCCATCTCTCAATATAGACAGATTAAGATTAAATTTTTGTGGTTCCAGGTGAGTTTTAAAGGCATTCCAGTTGTATACAAAAACTGAATTAAACTCATAAGAACTTTATTTTTGACGTTGCTCAAATGGTATAGCTTTTAAAATAAATCTTTGTCCAAATCAAAGGCTAGCAGAGATGTGAAGGAAGGGAGTGGTCCCACCAATCTATTGGGTCAAAATTCAAGATAAAATTGGCAGGTCAACACAAATTAAAGTGAATATGTTGCTTCTCTAGAACATAGTTGCACATTTAGAAACAACAATGGAAAGAATAATGCAAGAATGAAAGATTTGAAGGCCAAACTAGAAGATCTTAGGGGGGGAAAATGTACCCAATAAAAGTTTGGTGGACTTGACACTTGAATCAAATTACAAAACAATAATGAACCAAATAGCAAAACACGCATGATGTTTACCTCTCCTCCATGGACAATACGGGGGGTCCCTTATTGGCAACGATCTCCTCATCACTAACAACACCCACAACCAATTCATCTCCCAAAGCCTTTGCCTGCCTTAACGCATTGGCATGGCCAAAATGCATGAGATCAAAGCAGCCATCCATGTAAACCCTCACACGTTTCTTCTTCTCGCTTTTCTTTTTGTGAAAGATCCCAGAATCAGACCACAAATGGGGCAACGAAAAGACTCCAATTCCACCGAAATAGCTGGTGGACACGCCCAACAATGCCGCCGTGAGCATCAAACCTCCAAAGAAATGTGGATAGTAATACACCCCATCCCAAATCCAACTGTTACTTTCATACTCCATTGTCGATGTCCTACCTCAATTCCACCCTTCCTAATCCTAAATTTATACAAATCTCTCCTTGCTCAATCAGAGGAGACACCAAACCTGCAAAAATTAAGCAACCAATAACATATATCACCGCAAAAAAAAAAATAATAATAATAATAATAATAACAATAATTGAATACTGGAAATGGGATTAAATTATAACATCAACAGGCAAATATTTCAGATAAAATTGACAACTTTATGCATCTAACAAATAAAAAAAAAATGAAACTTTCAATAAAACACTAAATTACAAACATGCAACGACAAAACCAAGAATTTGAACGCAAATTCAAAGCTGGATTCACCAACAAAGCTCAAATCTGAAACGTACCCAGATGCTAAAACCCCAACCTGAATCCAAATCTGAATCCACCCATCAAAATGCACGTAAAAATCTCAAAAAGAAAAAGGGGTTCTTCACAAACAAAACAAGAACCAAATCAACAAAACAAAAACTCAAAACTGATTCAAAGATTCAAGCATTGCTAAAAGATTCTTGATCCAGATCGAATCTCGTTTATTTTACCTGAAAATTAGGTCTCGTTTTGCGCTTCGGTGTCGTGTCTCCTCTTTCTTAAGCGCTAAGGAGCCCCACAAATTTTGCAGAGAAACGAAGGAGCTGTCTTAAATTAATTAATTAAATAAAAATTTTGTTAAAAAAATGAAAGATATCTTTTAATTTAATAAATCAAATTTTGATTTGTTTTGTATGAAATTTGACATGCGAAGCCGAGTCTTGCTTGCTTGTCAGTTGTTTGGCCTCAATTCCATTCCGTGTGTTCTACTTTCCATTTTAATTCGTCCATTTGTTGGTTTACTATTCTCCATTTTTAGNAAAAATCAACCAAAACCAAAACCATAACATTTCAATAAAACTTTAAACCCTAATATTTAGCAAAATTCATGACTTTTCAATGTCCGATTCACTCCAATGACGGGAAAAATGATAATTTCGATGGGGTTAATCTTCAAAACTGTCAAGATTTTTTTAAATGGAAATCGGCTCCAAAGCCATTTTTTTTTTTTTTTTTTTTAAACTGGTGGAAAATGGGAGAAAAGTGGTTTTTGGTAAAATGTCATTTGGTGAGTGTATGGGTATTGAAAGTAGGATTTTCGTCAATTTTATTTGGCCCCCAAATTCTGGTCATTTTTCACTAAAATGGTAGCACGATGCATTAATTTAAAGGCTTAGGGTGCATTTATTTTCCTATTTTTGTCCTATCCTATTCCTATAATTTTCAAAATATCTTATTCCTATCATTTTCAAAATACACATTTGTTTCTCTATTTTGAAAATACTATTGTATTTTATTTAATTTTTTAAACGACATAAGTTCGTTAATTTAATTAAACACCTCTAAAAAAAGTTTAGAAATTGATAAAAACACCCCCACCCACCCACACTTGTCAGATTCCAACCACCACTATCAGAAGGTGGCTGGAATCTAGTATAATTGTGCACTATTGACTGGATTTGGCTAGTAGTGTATCGATATAACCTTTACCAGCCAGATCCATGATGGATCTGGTCTGAAAAGGCCAAATCTACGGCCAGAGATCTGACCGTTGGTCGTAGCTAGTTGTCAACTATGGCTAAGATATGAACGTCGTTGACGATCAAATGCAGCCAAATCTAATTGTTAATTACTAGATCTAACCGTAAATCTGGCATTTTCCGACCATAATGAGTAGATTATCGATTTTTTTAATGAGTCCTAACTATTAGTTAATCCCTTTTATGGGTTGGAGATGAATGTGTAGAAGAAGCAGTATATTGATAAAGATTTTTTTTTTTTTTTTCAAAATCAAAAGAGCGATTGGATNACGACTTTTGCATAGACCTATACAAGTATCACACAAGTTATTTATTTGATTCTCGAACATGTAATAAACAATTGATTTTTTATACGAGTAAAGAGACTTTGTCCCACCCACTTTGCTTATTTACATTATCTCACCCAAAGTGAATATTTCGTTATTTCAAAAAATTAATTCCGACAGTAAAAATTTTCTCCGTCACCACCATTTAAACCTCTGATATCCTTTCTACAAAACACTTTTCACTCTAACATCTAATTTCTCGCTATTGTCAACCACCGCAAAATCAGAATTTTTGTTCTTAGTTGATTTTCGATTGATTTTAACAGCGAATATTCATTGGTCACGACCATTCGATCTATCAGCCTTTACTCAACGAAACCTCTTTTATCCTTGCTTTTGATAACCCGTTGAATGCCTAGTTGAAAAAGTGAAGTACATTTTAGGTATTACACAGAAATATACATTTTGGGTGAAAAAATAGTATTTTGAAATTTTTTAGATGAGAAATGTTATTAAAGCAAACCTTGAGTGGGAACGTTAAGATGAATGAACGGCATTACATATATAAAGTTTTTGTATAAAATAGTTATATATAAAGGGAAGATTATTAGCTTTAATTATTATTTTATTTTAACTCTTAATTAATCTAATAAAATAGGGATTTTGTTAGTCAAAAACAATTCAACACTTTATATTTTAGAGACTAAAGAGATCATGTGAATATAAATTGGTCAAACCTCAAAAGGGGTCTTATATTATATTTTATCTATTAGTGGGTACATAAACTTTAAAATAATCATTTGAGTGCTAAATTATCAAATTCAGTCACAATTATGAAATTTTGAAAAATCATAAAAGAGAATATATTACAAAAAGAAAAAAAAAACAAATTTTTTTTTTCTTTTAAAGCATTCATAACTTTTCAATTAAAAAAACAAAAATCAACCAAAACCAAAACCATAACATTTCAATAAAACTTTAAACCCTAATATTTAGAAAATTCATGACTTTTTACACAAAGATTCGTATAATGTAGTATTGAAAACATGAAAAACCGACCTCTTTGCCCATTTTTCAATGTCCGATTCACTCCAATGACGGGAAAAATGATAATTTCGATGGGGTTAAATCTTCACTTGATTTGTGGCTTAATCTTCAAAACCGTCAAGATTTTTTTAAATGGAAATCGGCTCCAAAGGGTTTTTTTTTTTTTTTTTTTTTTTTTTAAACGGTGGAAAATGGGAGAAAAGTGAGTTTGGTAAAATGTCATTTGGTGATTATATGGGTATTGGAAGTAGGATTTTCGTCAATTTTATTTGGCCCTCAAATTCTGGTCATTTTTCACTAAAATGGTAGCACGATGCATTAATTTAAAGGCTTAGGGTGCGTTTATTTTCCTATTTTTGCCATATCCTATTCCTATCATTTTCAAAATACACATTTGCTTCTCTATTTTGAAAATACTATTATATTTTATTTAATTTTTTTAAACCCCTTAAGTTTGTTAACTTAACTAAACACTCCAAAAAAGTTTAGAAATTAATAAAAACACCCCCACCCACCCACATTTGTCAGATTTCAGTCACCACTATCAGAAGGTGGCTGGAATCTAGTATAATGGTGCACTACCGGTTGGATTTAGCTAGTAGTGCGCCGATATATCCTTTACCAGCCAGATCCATGGTGAATCTGGTCAGAAAAAGTCAGATCTACGGCTAAAGATCTGACCGTTGGTCGTAGGTAGTTGTCAACTATGGCTAAGATATCAATGTCGTTGACGATCAAATGCGGCCAAATCTGACTGTTAATGACTAGATCTAACCGTAAATCTGGCATTTTCCGGCCATAATGAGTAGATTATCGATTTTTTTAATGAGTCCTAACTATTAGTCAATCCCTTTTATGGGTTGNTAAAACCCTAAAACCATTTTAAAAACTTAAAATAGAATGGTAAAACAATATCAATAATGTAACATATACCAATACTAGAGGTGGAAAAGTAACCTGCCCAGCCCACGGCGGGTTACTTAATTAGGCGGGTTGGTCCTAACCCGCCTGCCAACAAAGGCAGGCCGGGTTAGGTCCGCCATTTTTGGGAAAATTGTTGGCCCAGCCCGGCCCGCCAACCTTAACCCGCCGGGTTAGGCTGCGAGCGGGGCCGGGTTAGCCCTATTTTTTTATTTTTTATTTTATTTTGTTTTATTTATTTAACTTTTCAAATAAATAATTAACAATTTATAAATGAAAAAATGTAATTGTTTTTAGTTAACTTTTCAAATATCAATAATTAAATTAAATAAAATTTTTTTTTTTGTTAACATTTCAAATATTAATTCAATTTTAATACAATAAAATTGTAGTATAAGAAACATTAGATTTATTCATTCAATTGATGAAATTTTAGCAGAAGAATGAATCATATTTTATACAAGACATGAAAAATTTGAGAATAAGATTTTAGTATTTTTTTTTTATTTACCATAAAAAATAATAATAACAATATGTCAAATATTACGAAGTTTTATATATTTTAATATTTATGATATAGAAGTATAGTTTAATATTATTGTGTAAAATTATTTGTAAGAGTTCAATCATAATAGTTTAATTAAAAGAATTTAAAAAATAGGGGAAACTTGAAAAAAAAACTTTATTTTTTATTTTTTTTGGGCCAAGCCAACCCGCCGGTTTGGCTAATGCAAACAAAATAGCAACCCGGCCCGCCTATAAGACGGTTCAGGTTGAACCCTCTCTAATGCGAGGTAGGTTAAGATTGACCCGCCTAACTCGGCCCATTTGTTCCACCTTTAACCAATATCTCTTATAACGAATTAACTATATGCATACAAAGTGATTTTATACTCACTTTTTCATTTATTTTTATACACATCACTGATTACATAAATTTTTGTAAAATTACAAACGAAAAATTTACATCTTCAAAGACAATCATTTAACAACTTTTTTGAGTTAACCCATTAAAATATTTTTAGGTTTAGGTTATACATATTTGAGTTTAGGACTTAAATCTGTTTTACCGAACAATTACAAATGAACTAACTAAAAAATAGGATTTATCTTGCACTCACTCTTATATGAGTGATTAGTGGAGATAGTAGAGCTACAGAAAGCTCTTTGGTCAATGTCCTACATACAGTACAAGAAAGCTCCATTTTAAGGCTTCTAAAATAACTGGTTATTGGGCTTCTCATGGAAGCTCAGGCCCTTATTTTGTTGGGCTTTGGCAATGTTTTTGGATTAGTTTCATCGCATTTTAACTATCAAATGGATTGAACAAGAGTCATTGATTAAATAGAATTTTAACGTATAATTTAATAGTATATATTTCATTTTGGTTTGGTTAATAGTTTTAACTAACGTTCATTAAATCAAGGGGAATTTTCTGGTATTTGAAATGGTAGGATCGAGATCAAGGTAGACTGATCTACAAAGGCGATTAACTGTTTCTCTCCATGGATGAAGCTAAGGACAAAGAAAATGAAAAACACGTCAAGTTATGGATCGTAGGCAACAGGATAGTATAGCATTTTAAATCAAGTAACTCCTAGAGTTTTTGGAAAAATGGATTGTTTTACCCATTGGTGGTTGCCTGGATGGTAAGAGTGCATCGGAGATTTTCGGACTGTGTTGGACATTGGACTCGAATACTCGATTTTTAAGAAAATATAATGGATTAATGGATTGTTTCCCAAAAAGTATAGAAATACTTTTGAATGGAAAATCATTTATTAAAATTAACGACTCGATTATGGTTCAATCAAGATTTTAATTTTATAATGACGAAACTAGAAAATTACATATGAAAGGTCAAAGGTAAAAGAACATAGTTTAAGATATGAAATTGACATATTTATATATAAAAAAATTTTAAAAATTTTGTGCGATCTAGGGTGACTACTTGTTTAATTCGGCCATTAATTTGACCTAATTCAATAAATAGGGTTGAAAGTGACTCTATTAAATCTTTATGTTTGATAGGGATGTGAAAAATAGTCATCGATTTAAAATATCCATGGACATCCATCCCAATAATAATGAATATAGCGGACAAAAATCTAAACCCCTAAGTCTAAAAATTAACTTCTTCCTATTATTCTTGGCATAATGAAACGATATACTGTATAAATAAAATTATAAACTTGATATCATAAAGATATATCGATGGAAATAAATAAAAAAGTCTACAAAGAAAACGACATGATTTTATTTTATTTATTTATTGAAATGAAGACTAGGGTGCGTTTGGTTTATTATTTTGGATAAAATTTTAGAGATAGTATTGGATAGTTGGATAAGATTATTATTACGAGGTAAAATTTAAAAATTTATAAAAAAACCCCTTAAGTTACTAATTTAACTAAATACCCCAATATATAAATTTTTTGTAAAATGATAAAAACACCCCCAGCCACCGACAGTGCTAGATTCCGGCCACCACCACCGGAATCTGGCGTTACAACTCGGATAGATGACTTACCGACCAGTTCTTGTTGTTTGTAGGCCGTTGTGACAGATTCATGCTACCACCGATAGAAATTTGGCAACTATAGGTGAGTGGGGGTGTTTTTGTTAATTTTTAAACTTTTTTCCTAGGGGTATTTAATGAAATTAATAACCTTAAGGGGTCTAAATTAATTAAAAAATATAATAATATTTCCCAAATAATTAAACAAACAAATATTTTGGAAATAGAATTGAGAATATAGATAGGAATAATAAACCAAACGTACCCTATGATTCCTTTGCATTTATAAAATTAGACCTATTGTAAGGGGGTCTTTGTTGGTTTAACAAACAATATAATGCAAAGTTCCGAACACTCAATTTAGATGGTATATTGATTTAAAAAAAAAAAAAACCTTTTAGAACAAATATTAACAAATGAAACTAACTAAAGAAATAGGATTTATCTTGCACTCACTCTTATATGAGTGAATTATGTGGAGATAGTAGAGCTACAGAAAGCTCTTTGGTCAAGTGTCCTAAATACATGTACAAGAAAGCTCCATTTTAAGGCTTCTTAAAATAACTGTTGGTATGGGCTTCTCATGGAAGCTCAGGCCATATTTTTGTGGGCTTTGCAATGTTTTTGGGATTAGTTTCATCGCTTTAACTATCAAATGGATTGAACTAGCAAGTCATTGATTATAGAATTTTAACGTTATAATTTAATAGTAATATTTCATTTTGGTTTTGGTTAATAGTTTTAACTACGTTCATAAATCAAGGGGAATTTTCTGGTATTTGAAATGGTAGGACGAGATCAAGGTAGACTGAATCTACAAAGGCGATTAACTGTTTCTCTCCATGGATGAAGCATAAGGCAAAAAATGAAAAACACGTCAAGTTATGGATCGGTAGGCAACGGGATAGTATAGCATTTTAAATCAAGTAACTCCTAGATGTTGGAAAATAATGGATTGTTTTACCCATTGGTGGGTTGCCGGATGGTAAGAGGTGCATCGGAGATTTGGACTGTGTTGGACAGTGGACTCGATACTTCGATTATTTAAGAAAATAATAAGGATTAATGGATTGTTTCCCAAAACCCTAAAACCATTTTAAAAACTTAAATAGAATGGTAAAACAATACAATATGTAAACATACCAATACTAGAGGTGGAAAAGTAACCTGGCCAGCCCACGGCGGGTACTTAATTAGGCGGGTTGGTCCTAACCCGCCTGCAACAAAGGCAGGCCGGGTTAGGCCGCATTTTTGGGAAAATTGTTGGCAGCCGGCCCGCCAACTTAACCGCGGGTTAGGCTGCGAGCGGGGCCGGGTTGCCTATTTTTATTTTTTATTATTTTGTTTTATTATAACTTTTCAAATAAATAATTAACAATTTATAAATGAAAAAATGAAAAAATGTAATTGTTTTAGTTAACTTTAAATATCATAATTAATTAAATAAAATTTTTTTTTTTGTTAACATTTCAAAATTAATTCATTTAATACAATAAAATGTAGGATAAGAAACATTAGATTTATTCATCAATTGATGAAATTTTAGCAGAAGAATGAATCATATTTATACAAGACATGAAAAATTTGAGAATAAGATTTTAGTATTTTTTTTTTTTTTTTACCATAAAAAATAATATAATAACAATATGTCAAATATACGAAGTTTTAATATATTTAATATTTATGATAGAAGTTATAGTTTAATATTATTGTGTAAAATTATTTGTAAGAGTTCAATCATAATAGTTTAATTAAAAGAATTTTAAAAAATAGGGAAACTTGAAAAAAAAACTTTATTTTTTATTTTTTTTGGGCCAAGCCAACCGCCGGTTTGGCTATGCAAACAAAATAGCAACCCGGCCCGCCTATAAGACGGTTCAGGTTGAACCTCTCTAATGCGAGGTAGGTTAAGATTGACCCGCCTAACCCGGCCATTTGTTCCCCTTTAACCAATATCTCTTATAACGAATTAACTATGCATACAAAGTGTTTTATACTCACTTTTTCATTATTTTTATACACATCACTGATTACATAAATTTTGTAAAATTACAAACGAAAAAATTTACATCTTCAAAGACAATCATTTAACAACTTTTGGGAGTTAACCCATTAAAATATTTTTAGGTTTAGGTTATACATATTTGAGTTTAGGACTTAAATCTGTTTTACTAAACTAGCTCATAGAGGGTATTTTAGTAAAATTCTCGATCAAATATTTTAAAACCCTAATTAATTACCCGAAATTTTTTGACGATACACTAGTTAATTTATGGTCAGTCATAATATGAACAATTCCTTGTTTTAAAAAAAACATAGGAATATAAACAATCTACAAAAATAATTTTTGATTATTGTGTCAAACATATTTTTAAAAATTTTAAAATTTTAAAATACGACTTAAAATATTTCGATTGAATTTTTTTTTAAAATTTTTTTTAATTCACTACTATAATGGATTCTATTTTTCTATGATAATTTATAAGAAAATATTTGATGATCCTCACCTAGTATAGCACTTAACACATTCTTATTTCTTAAAAATTGAAAAAATATATATATTTTTAATGTAAACCCTACACTCTACACATTCTCAAACATAAAAAATTTAAAATTTAATAATTCATTTTTTCATTTTTCTTTTCTGAAAACTCTTTAAAAAAGAAAAGAAAAAGAAAAGAAAAAACAAAACAATAAAATCCCATTTCCCTTGATATCTTTCTTCTTCTAGTTCATTCTTGTGGTCGTCATCAATGGCCACAAACTCAGCTCTCACTTGGCATCCGTTACACCCCAAAACCCCTCTTCCTCCCCGCCACCACCAACGCCTGCCTCTCCGCTGCGGCTATGCCGTCACCGTCCGCGCCTTCCAGCGCAGCGACATCGACCGCTTCGCTCGCCGGGTGACCTCCGGCGAGGCCTGGAGAGACGCGTGGCGTAGCGCCAACGATGGGTTTGAGCAGCTGGTGTATGAAGCTAAGAAGACCGCTGAGCGTATCGACCGCCAGTACACCGTCTCCCGCCGCCTCAGCACCGCTACACGTGCCGCTTCTGACCGCGCGCGTGAGATCGATCGGGAGCTTGAGATTAGCGTGCGGTGGAGGGCTTTTAGTATGGATTTTAGAAGAAATTGGCCGAGGGTTTGTGCTTTTCTTTGTCAATTTGTTAGCTTTTTGTGATAAGGGAATTGAATTTGTAGTTTTTATTTGATTTTGGCAACTGTGCTTTTGTTTTTGAGAAATATTTTTTAAATTACAAACCAAATGGGCACTAATTTTGGTGAAAAGATAGTTATTGGGTTTAAGTTTTTTTTTTCCCCCTCGTCCTTGATGCTTCATCAGTATCATGGTTATAACGTTTTGTTTGCTTCATATTTTAATTTTCAAACTTTCTCAGTTTTCTGGAACTTTTTAAAATTTGAAAACAGTTTTTCAATATCATATCAAACACATTTTTGGAATCAAATGGACACTAATTTTATTGGGTTTAATTTTTTTTTTTCTCGTCTTCAATGCCTTATAATCAGTGTGGTTGGTTATAATGTTTTGTTTGATTGATGTTTTTGCAGTACAGGAAGCAGCTAAATGATTTTCTGGATACTCCATTGGGAAGAAGTTTTGCTGTGAGTGTTAACTAACTATATTGCTGTAAATGCATGCTTTTGGAATGTATTGTATATTTTGATCCTAATTTCATATCTATTTTTCCGAAAAAAAAAAAAAATGGTTGTAGTATGGTCAAGTGTTTTCTAGGCTAAATGGCTGGTAGAGTTTGAATACTAATGTTGGGTTCCTTGCTATAAGCTCAAGTTTGGGATTTAGGGTTTCTTGACATGGTGTTGGAGCATATGTGAGAAATTGGGGTATTTCTAACCCACAATAAATTGAGCCTGTATTAGGATCCATGTGCTTGTTTGAGTGTCGACGAGTCTGTTAATTAATATTTGATCTTGCATGAGGAAGCATAATAGAGTTTAAATACTATTGTCAGTTGCATTCTTATAAGTTTAAGCTTTTGGGACTAGTGTTTTTCTATGACAACATTAATGTGTTGTGTTTTCTGATCCGTGCATTGCATCTTTCTTCCTGCATTCTGCTCATAACTCACTTAATCTTATCTTAATTTTTATATTTTTGTGTCTTTGCAGACAATTTTCTTCCTCTGGTTCGCATTATCTGGATGGCTGTTTCGTATCTTGTTTTTTGCTGCATGGGTTCTTCCACTTGCTGCACCCCTTCTCATTGGGACTGTTGCCAATAATTTTGTCATTAAGGTACACTTTATTTTTGTACGTTGCATAGAGGTCTAAGGTTGTACTCTTCAATTAAATGTTTGTACATGTTATAAATGTTGTTCAGGTTGCTTTCTCCTCATTTTATAAGTAATTTGTTAAGTAATTAGTTTTAAGTATTTAAATTCCTTATTAATATATGGCTTCTGAATGTGGTGAAAATAGAAGCTGATATTGATTTGGGAAATTCTTTTTCTTATTTTTAATGTTTTTTTTTTTGGTATAACTTCATTTGTCTCCCTTGAAGGGTATGTTAAAATATTAGCATATCATACTGGTTTAGCTTTTTGTAGGCGGCTTCCCATAATTTTTTTGAAACTTTATGGGATGTTTATGATGAATTTTAAAGGAGTTTTATTATGATTTTTCATATTTCTGTGGTATTTGACGAATTTTAAGACCAATGGATTCATATGTTGTTTCAACCGAACTTGAAAGGAGGTTAATGAAACTAACCCCTTTTTTTCATCATCACTTATTCAATAAATTGGTGGTATAATTTTTGTACTGGTAAATACATCAAAGCTGATCATGTTTTGGCATTGTTTCAGATTTTATTTATATTATTTGAATGGCTTGAAAGTAGGTGAGCTGGTTATCTGTCTTTTTTTTCTCAAAGTTGTTTTGTAGCCTTTTGGATTTTAAGAGTTGAGCTTGTTTATTTCAAATTGACAAGACAATATTTATGTTTGTATCAATCTTGTTTGTGTTAGAAGCCGAATGGTTCATCTCATTGTCATTGAACCCTTTTTCGCATTTTCATTGCTTTTCAAATAGTTTTGTTTAAAATCCAATTTCCTTAAATTTATTGTTGTGTGTAAGATTCAATTGCTATCAATTTCTATTTTTCATAGCAGGTAGGCAAAAACCCAAAATTTGGGCTGTGATATACATGTTTTATGATTTTTTATGCGAATAAATATGTTATGAGATTACTTGCACTGTTGACCTCACTTATGTTTCATGTTTCAGTTTCTTGCCTTTCTTAGGATCATATTATTTCACTTGAAATTATTGATTGAGCTGTGAAACCATGTGGCATTATCATAAAATAATTCCTACTATTCTTGAATGTTTGGTTTTGCCTAGATTGTAGACTGTACAATGAGGTTTTCCTTTCTGATTAAATAGTTCTAATATAATTGGAATCTCAGATTGCATAAATAATTCCTTTGTTGTGGAAATGTTGGAAATCAAATACTCAAAAACACAAACATCTCCGCAAATAAATAGCCTTTATTAATGTTCTTTTAAATGTTTTTTGCATTTTAGGTAGAGTATAGACAAAAAGGTTTTCTCATGTTTTCTTGATTGTATTTTGGTGTATGTCTAATTGCCTAGAATTATCATTTGTTTGTTGTCTTAAGATGCTGAATAACTGCATCGCCTTCTATCAACATCTATTCTATAACTGATTATCAACAAAATAGTTAATCATAATGATTCATTCACTGTCTTTAATGGAATCGTGTAGGGGTCTTGTCCAGCTTGTAACAGGCAGTTTGTTGGTTACAAGAACCAGATAATTCGATGTACAAGCTGCGGAAACATTGTATGGCAGCCGAAAGGGGACTTCTTCTCAAGGGGTGGGAAGGGCAAGACTACTTCGAAGTCTGATGGAGATATCATCGATGTTGAGTTTGAAGAAAAATGATGCTAAAGAGATTCAACCGTTGGTCCATCCCGCCACACGAGCTCAAACATAGTGTATGACAAAACAGGAGGATAGATGTCTACTATCATTCCTCATGACATGCAGCTTGCTTAGATCTTAGTATTGTCTTTGATTTTATATCTGTCTGTTTTGGAAGTGCTTTTAGGAATTCTGCTTAGCAATACTACTAATTGTATATTATGTTTGTTAGAAAGGAACATTGAGAAACAATGTGACTGAAGTCCCCCCTTTGTTCATAACAGAAATTTTCCATTTGGTGGGCTTCCTTCCCTTATGGTTTAGTGCTGAATCAATACAAGTGAGATTAAATGCCTGTTTGGCGTGTGAGAATGTGAGATTAAATTTGGGTTAATAACATTAACCCCCCTGAGGTATGATAAAATGACAAAGTCCCCTTGAGGTTTCGAAAATAACAAAAATCCATTGGTTGTTAAATTTTAGGTGTTAAAATAAACGATGAAAGGGAATTTGGTAATATTTATGAATTTTTAACAGTGTAAATTTTAATGGTTTATTAATAGTTCATAATTGGAAGGGGGATTTTTATTATTTCAGATGTTTTAGTTGGATATTGTTATTTTGTCGTGATTCAGGGTCTATTAACCCATTAAATTTTACTAAAATAAAATTGAATAGTGGAAATAAAATATCATAAAATATCAGGGGGAATTTTTTTAATTCAGTCGTCTAAATTTTATCTCATTACATTGTCAATGAGTTGGAGAAATTACGTTGAAATGGGTGGAGGGGTATTATGGTCTAAAATTTATTGGAAGGGTTAAATATGAAATTACATTTTAAAATGGTCAAGTTTTAATTTAATCTCCTGAAAAATATCTTCTTTATAAAGACCTTTTTTAAAGGTTTGAATCAAAGATTTCATTTATGATACAAATTATCGTATTTATTGTCTGAGTCAGTTTACGTGTATTTTAACTAATCCTCTGGAATGTTGGAATTACTCGTCATATAAAAACTCTAATAACTATCCCTATTAGTAGTTATATAAACTCGAACTCGAGAGACATCACGTAATCTGTAAATTGATAGATTTAAAAAGATTACATTACAATTGAAGGCAATAAGTATGCGTTTGGCACATAACAGGCTTTGAATAATTTAAATAATATTTAATTAAGTTCATATTTATTTTATTTTTAACAATTAAATATTGATTTGTTTAAAAAAATTTATGTACATTGGTTGTTTATTTTTATTTTTTTTAATGAAACTTAATCCAAACATATTGGATGTTTTAAACTGATTTTTTCTCCTATAATGGAGGAAAAAAAAAAAAAAAAAAAAAAAGACATTATAAGATTGTCCTAGCCTAAACTTATACACAACAAAATTTCTTTTCAAACTTGGTCCCATTGCGAGTCCATCTAGGAAAATAATACAGCCATCGACGGTAGTGCACCGAATTTATGCACCGAAAGACGTAACAAAATCCTGACCGTTGATTATTTTAACTTAATATCAATCAATGGTCAGGATTTTGCACGTCATCGTCTGCTGCACTACCATCGGTAGCTGTAGCATTACTTGTCAACCTATATAGTTTCTACAGTGTGTAGGGCACCCAAAAGGTAACATACGCATCAACAGGACCTCAACTTCTCTTAAGTTGGTGGTAGATTGGCCCTCAAGGATAGGCAAAAGAGTTGATTAGACTCAGCTTGTTAGATGGAACATTTAGGGTTCGTCAAACCATTAATACTGAGTTAACGACTTTTTTCATCCAAATAACAGCGCAAAACATTTTTTTTTATTTATAGACTTTTAAAATACAACTTTACTATTCAAATTTATATTCTAGCGATAAACAGAGAGCAAACTCGTTTTAGGTTGTTACGGCTTTTAAAAAGAAGAGACTGATGAGTTTTGGTGATTGAAGGTTGGATTTTAGAGGTTGTGATTGATCGAAATTTGACTTGGGAGGGGCGACTGTACAAACCTAATTGTTTGATTGGCCGTGATTGACGAGGTTGGCGAGGAGAGTAGAGTTTAAAAAGTTTTGGTGAGTGATAATCGAAGAAGATAATGGTGTGTGTGACTGTACAAACCCTAATGACTTGAGAGGGGCGAATGTTAAAACCCTAATGTTTGATTGCCCGTGATTGACGGGGTCGACGAGAGTAGAGTTTAAAAAGTTTTGGTGAATGATGATCGAAGAAGATAATGGTGGTGGTGACTGTACAAACCCTAATTGATTGGGAAGGGGTACTGTATAAACCCTAATTGTTTGATTGCCCGTGATTGATGGGGTCGACGAGAGTAGAGTTTAAAAAGTTTTGGTGAGTAATGATTGGGGAAGAGAATGGTGGTGGTGTGAGGGTCGCACATGATTCCAGAATCAGAAAGGAAATATAATTTGGGTAATAAAGTAGTATTTAAAAGTTTATAGATAAGAAAGTGTTGTTACACTTAGGGTAGGAAAAAGTTGTTTACTCTATATATTAGATCAATTTAATAAAATATTTTTCAATATTAACTTTACTTCAAAAATACCCTATATATTAATATATATATTTTTTTTTTTTACTTTTAAGACACAATTTTCCCCAATAAATATTGGTAGTTGGTAAGAGTCTCCCTCGCTGACCAGTAACAATGGTTGGTAAGCTTCCTCCCAGTCTCATTTCTTTAAAACACTCCACCAAACTCCAACACTACCCCATCTCATCCACTACTCAATCATGGCGCTTTACACCACCGTGATGGACGCCGTCACCGCCTACACGGGGCTGTCTCCGGCGGCCTTCTTCACAATCCTCGCTCTCATGTGGGTCGTTTACAAAACTGTGTGCGGCATGTTTGTCGACCCAGAAGAGTTAAACAACGCTAAGAAGCCCGCCGCTGCCGCCGCTGACGTGTCCCCTCCGGCTTTGGTGGCTCCAGCCGAACCGGTTCAGTTGGGTGATGTCACTGAGGACGAGTTGAGAGCTTATAATGGGTCTGACCCAAGTAAGCCTCTTTTGATGGCGATTAAGGGGCAGATCTATGACGTTTCTGTTTCCAGGTAAATTAGTGATTCTTCAGTTCTTGGTTTTTGTAATTTTTAGTTTTTATGATAAAGTTTTTTTTTTGATGATGAAAAAAGGAATCTTTTTTATGGGATGTAGAGGGATTTGGAATAAATTTAGGTTACTTTTCTTTTGAGGTTTCTGATAAATTTTATGAAACTTTAGTGGATATTATTGAGGATTAAGTTTTATTCATGGTTTTGGGGCAAAGTTGGAATTGAGGCAATCCATGGCTCCGTTTGGTTGCCAATTGGGAATACTATTTTTAGTATTTCTAAAAAAGTTAAACAGTAAAATACCCAAAAACTTTGATTTTTGGGAATACTACTCCCAATATTATTCAACTTTTTTTAAACCCCTTAAATTTTATAATTTAATTAAATACCCCTAAATATTTTTTTAAAAATTATAAAAACACCTCAGTAATTCATATTTACCAGATTCCGGCCACCATTGCCGGAAAATGGCCGGAATCTGTTAGGATGGCGCACTACCGACTGAATTTGACTGGTAGTGCGCCGATCTAGCCTTTTCCGGTCAGATCTACGGTGGATCTGGCCGAAAAAGGCTAGATCTAAGGCCAAAGATCTGGCCGTCAACGACGACCGTTTGTTGGTCGTCGTTGACAAGAAAATACGGCCAGATCTGGCCGTTGATCTAGCCGGCAAAGGCCATATCGGCGCACGACCGGCAAGATTCAGCCGGTCATGCGCCAATACGGTGAACCCGGCCACCCTCCAGCGGTGGTGACCGGTTGTCCGTATTTGACATTGGGTTGGGGGTGTTTTTGTTAACTTTTAAGATTTTATTATAAGGGGTGTTTTGTAAATAAAAAAATATAGGGGGTATTTTATTAATTTATAAATCCTACATCGTAATACCCGCCCAATTCAATTTTTTTTAACTTTTTTCAGAAAACTTTTCCCAAAAACACCCAATTGTGAACCAAACGGAGTCCATAGAGTTGAAATCTTTTTTGGTCATAGAAGAGGTGATATGGAATTATTATGGCTCATTTTGGTTGGTTTTTGGGAATATTATTATTAGTATTCCCAAAAAAAGTTAAACAGTGAAATGACCAAAAACTCTAAATATTATTCAATTTTTTTAAAATCCCCTAAAGTTGTTAATTTAATTAAATACCCTTAAATATTTTTTTTAAAATTACAAAAACACCCCTAAACCCACATTATACCAGATTCGGGCCACCACTGTCGAAAGTTGGCCGGAATTTGGTAGGATGGCACACTACCGGCTGGATCTTGCCGGTAGTGCGCCGATCTAGCCTTTTCTGGTCAAATCCACGGTGGATCTGGCCAGAAAAGGGCAGATCTAAGGCCAAAGATCTGGCCGTTGACGGCAAGATCTTTGGCCGTAACTAGACGTCAACGACGGCCAACATATGGTCGTCGTTGACTATCAACGACGACCGTATCTTTGGCCGTCGTTGACGAGCAAATGCGGCCAGATCTGGCCATCAATGGTTAGATCTAGCCGTAGATCTGGCCGACAAAGGCCATGTCGGCTCACGATCGGCAAGATTCAGCTGGTCATGCGTCGATACGGCGACTCCGGCCACCCTCCGGCTGTGGTGGCCGACTGTCCGTATTTGATGGGTGGGTTGTGGGTGTTTTTGTTAACTTTTAATATTTTATTATAGGGGTGTTTTGTAAAAAACAAACATAGGAGATATTTTATAATTTGTAAATTCTACATCGTAATACCCGCCCAATTCAACTTTTTTTTAACTTTTTCCAAAAACGTAAAAATGTGAACCAAACGGAGCCTATGTTTTAGATCACAATTTCATTTCCATTTCCAAGTGGTAGATGGTAAGGTTATAAGTTGGATTGAGCAAGGTCAATACAGGTGGATTTATGGAGTGTGAAGGTGGGTGGAGACATTTTGGTGGAGTGTTGTCTTTTTACAATATCATAGACTTCTGAATAAAAGAAAATTCTGGTATGGACTGTAGAATTCGGACCTTAATTCTCGTTTATAAGAGTTAACTCTCGCATGCAAGATTTAGAAGACAAAAAACTTGCTGGCGACTAACTCATGCATGTATGAATTATCTCTCCTTAGAAGTTCGAATGTAGGGAGAACCCAAAAAAAAGAAAAAACAAAAAAAAAATAAAATTAGAACATTAGCAAGAGAGGTTGACTGTACAAATAAGTTCGGATGGTATAAAAGAGTTCAACATGTTGTTGGAACATATGATTTATGCTGTTTATTCACCTAGAATCTTGAATGGAGGAAGGAAACCCTCGAGGTGGAAAGATGGAGATAGACTAACATTTTTTTACTATTGAATGCTGTAAACTTCAGTTACTGTAGACCTTTTTTGCTCTGAAACCTGTTTTATATATATATATATATTTCAAGAGGGGGGAAGCAAGGCAGGAAATCCATTAAATTATTCTGGTTGGCTTCAGTTATTTGAGTTAGTGATTCTGATTCACATTTTGTGAGGTTAATACTGAATTGTGGTAATTATAGATCAAATTTAGAAATGGTAAAGGAAAAAGGATTTGCTGAATGAAGTTAACTCTGCTTTATATGGTCACTGTCAATCTGAAACTGTAGTGTCAAACTTTACATGGTGCCTTTAAAATCACATCTGCATTCAAACTTGGCTATAATGTTGCTATATTTATTTTTTTTTTTGGGCTAAGATAGTGGTGTCTTACATTTTATTATATTTTATGCTCTTACACATTTTTTTGGGAAAAAAATTCAATAGTAGTTTATTAGGGAGGGAATTTCTATTTAGTGAACATAGATTTTGATTGACCTTTATGTGCAGGATGTTTTATGGACCTGGAGGGCCATATGCAATGTTTGCGGGAAGGGATGCCAGCAGAGCCTTGGCTCTTATGTCTTTTGACCCTCAAGATCTCACTGGAAACATTGAAGGTCTTAGTGAAGACGAGCTTGAAGTTCTACAGGATTGGGAGTACAAATTCATGGAAAAATATGTTAAGGTTGGCCAGCTTGTTTCAGAAAAAACACAGAAACACAATGAAAATGGTAAAGAGCATGATAGTTAAAAATCAGGAAGTGAAAGAATACAACTTTGTTTGCCTGTGTACTTTTGAAACTTATATATTATAGTTCACTCTTGTTTTCACTTGTAGAATCTCTTCTCATTTGCACATGATTTGGTCCTTTCTTGCATCATACATACATGAAGCATACATGCATCATATACATTTTCGTGTACCACGTCCATCGATATGCATAGTCATCTCATGATATTGATCGATACCACTTAGTATGGTACAGTTTTCCAGTATGCAGATTCATTCCAGGCTGAAGAATTTAGATTGCCGGAATTTAGATAACTCATTACCTTGTGAAGAAAGATGCCTCATTGTTTCAAGTTCTCCAAACGACTACAAAATTACATGTTTGAAAGCATTCTGCAGGGATCTAATATATTCAACCTCCTGAACACACCGACTCTGAGTCGCCAATGTCTTCTGGGATAACTGCACTTGTTTCTTCCGTAGTTATCTTCATGCTTGTTGCTGATGAGGAAATGGTTTCTTCTTCACATGGAAAGATTGCTTTTCTCTTCCTCCTCCGCAGTTGCCATTTTCTCAATGATTCGGATATATCCCTTTCGTATCCACCCCATTTCTGGGGTTCTTCCAACCGCTCTGGTGTTGAATCTCTCTCAATACTCTCATTGCTACTATCTCCAAAACTGGGTGCTGTCATAGGAAATAAGAGCCGTCTACAGCAGAAAACGAGAGCGAAAACAAGCATAATGAACATGTCTATAGACGACCAAACATAAAATGTCCATTTCCAGTTGCGAACAAACTGTTTCCTCCAAGGCAGCTTTGAGTGGAGGACGATTTCAGCTTCATACAACTGTGGAAGAGATAAAGTTCCCCCCCTCGGACTCAAAATAACTCTGATTGCTTCGGTTCTTTGAATTCCCTCCCTGTGCTTCAGGATTTTGACTGTCATTCTCTGTGTTTCATCCGAAATTCCTAGTACAAGAGGTACTCCCATAAGAAATGTTCGCATGAGTCGAACCGTTAGGCTTCTAAATCGCAACATGCAGGGCTGGCTGGATTTTGCTATTACATTTCCATTGATGGATAAAACTTCTGCAGTCAACTAATGACACAACCTCATGAATATGCATCTACTGTTATTAAAATCTATTATATAACCATATGAAAAATAAATTCCCTTCAGAATATGTGCCCCCACTGAAACAAAAACCTAGTTCCAGATTGTATCTAAATTATGAATCAAATAGACCCTAAATTTAGAAAACGGGCATACCTGAAAAACCCCAATATCTCTATTAAATTCAGATTCAGGCATCAAAAGCATCAAAGAGACCTGATATGTGTGCCCAAAAGGAACACCAAAATGTCTTTTAATATTCTTGCTGCTTTTCCCAAATGAAAACACAGCCTCAGGATTAGCCTCAGTGTAGTCAAAGAACAGCCTCTCTCTAACAAACACAGGCTCCTCCACCCACATTTGCACCAACCCAACACCCGCCACGGCGGCAACCACCACCAGCACCACCAGAACCATGCCAACCTGGGCTGCACCCAGAAGGCCAAACCCCAGTTTCTTTACCATAGAAACACTGCCGTAAGTGATCGTACTAGGGACCTGGTGCACCGCCGTTTCGTAAGTGGCCGAGGCAGACTTCTCTGCGCGGTGGTAGGACTCGGAGGCCATGGAGAGGAGAGAAAGGAGAGGCCAAGCCAGGAAGAGAATGCAGTTGTGGAGAATATCTGCTTGGAGAGAGAGGAGTTTTGGGAACCAGTCAAGTGGTTTTAGAATGAAGGGAAAGTTTTGTTGTTCTTCCATTTTTATTAGGGAGAAGATTTAATCGTGGTGAAAGGTTTGGCTATGGAGTTATGTAAGGAAATGAAGTGTTGAATTTGCATGGGACGAGAAGGTGAAACGTGGAAGTTTGATGGTGTGAGGAGATGACAAGTGTTGGGGACAGAGTCAGATTCAGACACTAAAACTTTTTTTGTTTTCTTGAAAGTTGAAACTGGATAAGAGCATCATTCCAACAAGACACATTTTGCAATTTTTTATTTTCAAATCGAAAATTCTTATTCAGTATGTTTTGGAATATATAGTAGTCATTCTCCAATTCCGACATTTTATGTGCGGATCAATGATGAACGTCTAAACACTCACTTTACAAACTTTATATTCTAAAATGAGCACCGTCTAGATTTGAATATAAAACATTTCAGGACATCCAGATCGAAGAACTTTCATATATATATATCCTAAATTTTTTAACATACATATAAAAAATGAGCATTTAGTTACTTCACTAAATCGTATAATAAAATTGGGTGATTAGATACTTATCTTTGATCTGTAAATTAAAAATTTTACGATGCCCGTATTAGATAATTTTTATATTTTTATTTATTTATTTATTCACATGATAATTTTGTCATGATGAAGTTTTGAATTTTGATGTTAGTTTGGTTGCAATTATGTCAAAATATAATTGGGTTGACTTATTAGATTGAAATGAAGGTAATCTATTAGGTTCCAGGTATATAGTTTAAATTTTAAGATATGGCTTGGTTTAAGTTTAGAGTGATATTATACTTATAAAGTCTTTATACAAAGTTTTTCATACAAAATGACGTGTCAAAATATGTTGGATGAATTAATATAAAAATCAACTTAATAAATACATACTAAATGATAGAGAATGATTTTTATATTAATTTATCTAATCATATGACACGTCATTTTGTATAAAAGACTTTGTATATAATCTGTAAGTATAGTATAATTCTTTAAGTTTATCATATTAAAAATAAAATATTATACATCTAAACAGTAAACACTCAAATTTAATGAGAAACTACCTACCATGACTCTTGTCTCTAAACAAACCCTTGGCAAGTGACGGAGTTTGAAATTTCTTTTGGGGGCAGAAGTGTAATGATCAATGAATGTGTAGTTAAACAAAAATTTAGAAGTTGCATTTATTGGGGTTGAAGTGTCTAGTTTAACAAATAAGGGAGTTCAAATGGTAAAAACTTAATATTTAGGGATGAAAGGAAAACTTTAGGGTCTGTTTAACGTAGAGTTTAAATATAATATATCGATCTACATGCATATATTCTTTATACTAAAGAAATTATGAAATAAAAGAATATTAACCAAGTAGCCTTGAGTTGAGAGCAAGGCAAATATGGAACCAAAGAATCAAAGAAGCCTTGAGAGCCAGGCAAAATCAATTCATTTCTCTTTTGTATTTGAATTGCGCTTTATTCAGTTAACTTTTCTCTTTTGTATAACTGCTGTCTTAGTAATTCTTCAAATTAAGCCACAAATTTAATCCAAAATACCAAATGGAACATTGGAAATAGTTTATGAAAATTCCTCTGTTTTGTAGAATAGTTGAAAAGATTCTTTAACTCACTTTGTAAGGATGGAACCAAGAAGCCTTGAGACCAAAGGCAAAGGATGGAAGTATTCTAAGAGATGAATTACATACCATTCATTTTGCTTTCCTACATTCTATCCATCATTATTCACCCTCAATCTCTCAACAATCAGAAACACACAAAATTAACAACATGGAAATTGTTACTTCAACTGTAGGTTCAATTGCCGAGAACATTTTCAACCGCCTGTTCGATGCAGCAGGCCGTCAGCTCGGTTACTTGTTTCACTACAACGACAACATCGAAGCATTAAGAAAGCAAACTCAGAAACTTGCAGGTATCCGAGACAGGGTACAAGGACAAATTGAAGCTGCTGAAAGGAATCTTGAAATTATTGAAACTGATGTGCAGAGCTGGATGGCAGAAGTTGATAAAATCTCTGCCGAAGCTGCAAAGTTTTTGGAAGATGAAGTCAATGCAAACAAGAGGTGTCTTAGCGGGTGGTGTATTAATCCCAGATCCCGTTACAGATTCAGTAAGGAGGCGAATAAGAAGAATCTTGCGATTTCTCAGCTCCAAAAAGATGGGAAATTTGAGAAGGTATCTCGTCCTGCTCCTCCTCCAGGAATTATTTCTTCGTCTGAGGTATTTTCTGGAACTTTTGAATCCAGAAAATCAATTATGAAGCAAATCTTGGAGGCCTTGAGAGATGACAACGTCAGTATCATTGGAGTGTGTGGGATGGGCGGTGTGGGTAAGACCACACTAGTGACAGAAATCGGCAAACAAGCAAAGGCAGATAAGCGATATGATGTTGTGGTGATGACAACTGTGTCTCAAACCGTAAAACCTACATGAAATAATCACAAATGAGGAAGCATCAGCATCAGCAGCACAGAGGATTGTGTTTCCTAGTTTGTCCTCTCTGTACCTTGAAAGTCTAGATAACATTTCTTGTTTAGCTCAGGTTCATATTCTATTGAATTCCCAGCTTTGAGTATCTTCAGATTTATAGATGTCGAAATTAGAAGATCTTTAGTTAGGGAGAACCATGACACCAAAGCTCAACAAAGTCGTGATATATTATGAAGAACGATGGATGGTGACCTTAACTCCACCGTGCAACAAATGTTCATAAAAAGGGTATGTGAATTGATTGCTCATAGTTAACAATTGAAAATATTTCACTATTTGAAAAAAAAGAATGAAACTTAAATGCAAAATATATTTTTTTATTTACCACCGAATGATTGATGCTAATTTTGAAAATAGAGCATTGATCAAAAATATATGTTTTTAGACTATGTGAATCTGAATTGCCATTCAAAACTCAAATGGTGTTTTAATCTTTGAAAATTATTTTGTATTAAGTTGGTCAAATACATAATTTATCTAAAAATCTAATTGTTTTTTGCAGGAGGAAAAGGACAAGAAGGCAACGCTTAGTCACAATGTAAATGGTATGAATCAATTGATTAATAAAAAGAACTTATAATGTAAAAAAAAGGAAAATATTAGGTAAATGTCTCTTTTTGTTTAAAAAAAATTGATTGTTTGTGCTTATTATTTTGTTTGAATCACAAGAAGACAGTGATGATGATGATGAGATGATGATGTGATGACGACGACGACGACGATGACGAAATGATGACGACACGATGAGAAGAAAGGGAAGAAAGAAGAGGGAGGAGGTAGGTATATGATGATGGTATAATCAACATTGTCTCGTCATTATCTATTTGTGGTTGTCTTAGTAAATATTTTTGTTTGATGATGATGAGCCTTAGTTTCATATGCATAGATGCTTCCAAATTTGGAAAATTTCAGGGAAAACAGAGCATTGATCAAATAAATCTGAATTGCCATTAAACTTGAAATTTGTTTTAATGCTTGAAAAGGTTTGGTATCATAATACTAGTTCTTCTTAAATTATGTTTATTGCACAAATATTAATAAGTTAATCATCTTTAGTTGCTAGATACATATATTATCTAAAAATCTGATTTTTTTGCAAAGGAAAGAGACAACAGTTAGCACACAATTAAATGGTATGAATCATGTTTGACTAATCAATAACTTTTCCAATAAATGATTTTTAAGTAGAATATTATATAAAAATTTATAGTAATTTGAGTTGATTTTTCATAACAAGTTACAGTTTTAATTAAACAAAAAAGAGAAACAAGTTTCGCTTTCAAATAACTTAATTATTTGTGCTTATTATTTTGTTTAATCAGAAAACCAACTGATGATGAAGAGAAGAAGAAGAAGAGTGGTAATTAATGATGGTTTAAATTAAGATATGTCTTATTTGATGCTTTAAATATTAATGCTAATTTTAGGGACTATAACAGATATTATTGAGGATGGGTGTTGAGTTGTCTTAGTCAATATTTTATGCTCTCAAACAAAGGTGTTGGAAAAAAAACTACATATATAAGAATGAATGCTTTCAATAACCAAAAATCCTTGAGAAGAGAAATGTTTTAAATGGCTTTAATATAAAGAAATCAAATTAACCATAATTGGATGCAGGAAATGGAAAAGAATAGAAGCAAGGCGCAGAGAAGCCAGATGGATTTCCTGAAAAACTTCAACTTAGACTTGATTCTGCAATACCTACTGGTATGAATCTATTTACCAACTGCAATATCATCAAATTTGTAAGATTAAATGAAAATAACCTTAAAAAAAAGTTAATTTTTTTTATTATAATATTGTTTTGTAGAGAAGGCTAACATTGAGAAAGTATAACGAGCAAAGCGCAAAAGATGATGTTTAATTTCTTCATTTCTAGCTATGCAGAGACTTTGGGATGTTTATTAATAACTCAATTCAATTGTAGAATAAGTAAGTGATTGTTGTTATAATATTTTACTATTTGAACAATATTTGGATGTAAAATACTTTGAGTAATGCTATGCTTACTCACAATCCACTAACAATCTTACAATCCTGGAAAATATAACGCATAGTACAGGTACCATACGCATAGTACCCGTACTATGCCATTATATTTATCAGGATAGTAAGATGGTTAGTAAGATTGTGAATAGCATAGTTTTATTGAAGTACTTTTTCTTTCTTCAACTGTTTGATTAATGTCATTTTATTATGTCCTCGCCATAGCCACAACATATATAGTTTGCTTAGATTCATGTCAGAAAATTGTAATGGAAGGTTCATGGGAAAACAGATGTTCAAATGGTTGAACAAAGAGATCAAATCCAATGGGATTTTACCAGCTTTATACCACTATTTTCATCATCATATCATAACAGTGGGGAATTTCATCTGGTAAGGTGGAGCATAGGAGCTACACAATTATTGTTTGTTGAACATAATGATAAATCAAACATTAAGAAAACATATTTGGTTGAAACTTTTCAAATTATACTACTCTTTGAGCACAAGTTAGTTAAAATTTTTAATCATAAACTACCTATTTAATTTATTTGAAGATGGATAGTTCGGGGGGGCGACCATTACTAGAAAAGAATGATGATGAATTGACCCCTGATTGGATCAATTTCATTACATTTTTTAAGCATTTTTCATAGTACTATAAATACTTATAGTACATTGATTAATCCTACCCAGATTTAACTAAACATTCTTCTTAACATTTGTTTTGTGTGCTTTATTATTTTGCTAGAATCGCGATGTTAAAATAAATTTTTAAATTAAGGTCTGTACTGATATTAAATACATATTTTAGTTTAGAATCATGGGGTAAATTTGATATAAAGACATTTATGGCGCAACTAGATATATCTTTGAAACCTAAAGGGTCCATAAAAAATAGTAAGACTCGGGGGTCTTTAAATTTTCCCAACAAGCCCCTAACAAAACTCCACTGTTTCTCAGTAATCAAACAGCTCTCTTTTTCCCTCTCGCTCTCCTCTCAATATTTCTTTTCCTCATTTGATCTACGATTTGTCAATTTCCGCCGTAATTCCTTGAAGATTCGACTAGAACAGCTAGAAAATTTCATCTGCAAGCGACAATCGAGGCGCTTGATATTATTTCCCGAAAGAACTGAAGAAGATTTCTGTAGAGACCGCAGCGGAGGCAATGGAAGAAACCTCAAACAAGAAGATCTCCTGTCGCTTTTCTCGACCTCGCCTCTCGAGCAATAGAGGAAAAAGGTAAGTTTCATATAATTTCTTCTTCGTTGTTTAGTTATGGTAATGCGAAACTACGACGCTGTAACGGTAGTGTTACCGGAATCCGAGGCTTGGAAAAATTATTTTTAAAAGATAAGTTACTGTACTGGAATGGAAAGTTTGGGACGGTGGCTTTCGCTACATTGCTAGATGGTAAAGTTACCGGGAGAACATATGCCAGGACCATTATTTTTTTTTTTTTTTTTTTTTTTTTTTAAAGATAAGAAATTGGTGCAATAGCATTCTTATGTTCAGAGTTAGGATACAGTGGTAGCGTTACCGAATAATGTTTCATTTTTGTGGTGTTGTTGGACTTGTTATGAAAGTATTACTATGTGATGAGAAATAAAATCTAATATCTAATGAAGGTACATTTCGCGTCGTTTAAACATTTAACATTGTCAATCTTGTCTTGTGTAATGTGTGTGATGAAATCTGTGCTAGTATGCTGCTGTGTAGTGTTAAAATTCACAAGTTATGATTGTATTGATGTAATAGTTGAGTGGGAATTGGAGAACTAAAATGAATGATTTTGCAGGATGACTAAGTTGCAGGATGATGAAATTGAAGAGGATGAGCTGTTATGGAATCAGGATGCTCTTAAGAGGTAGTTTATTATGCATTATTCAAAGCATTCTATTCCATTCGAATTTGAAATCTGTTCTTTTATTTGTCGATAAGAAAGTCTACCACTTAACTTCTTATGATTAGTTTAATTGGTGTCATCATTTGTATTTTCTGTGCATTTATTTTTCTGTTTCTTTCGCAGCTTTTTTCATTGTAGATCATACGATACTGGTTCGAAAATTAGGAACAAAAATGATATTGCTGTTAACAAGAGACTGCTTATAATGAACGTGGTTGGAGTGTGTTTGGGAGTGCTTCTCTAGCAGAAGCTTTCAAGTTAATTTTTTTTTTTTTTTAATAAAAGCTGCTAAAAGGAGATTTTTCGCAAAGCAGTTACTGTGATTTTAGATAAAATCCTTTAATTCATTTATAACAAATTAAGTGCTCTCTACCAAAGTTTGGCAAAGCACTTGCTCTGATTTTAGAAGAAAATCTTTAATTGCATTTCTAACAAAATAATGCTCTCTACCAAAGTATATACCAAAGCATTTCAAGTGCTTTTTTAATCCCAAAAACGTTTTTGCTTGTTTAAGTCATAATTATTAAATAGACATAAAAGCATTTGGACAATTTGATTTTGAAAGTGTTTCTCACTCTGTCTCTGTCAAAAGCGCTTCCCCTTAATTTTTTTACCCTGAATTCTTTTGACCTATGTATGAAGGACAAAAAAAGAGTTTTACCAACACACTAATATATATAAATTTGTTTATTGTATTTATTTGTTTATATATTTATTTTTGCAGAAAGAGAATGATGATAATTATGTAGTGGATGCAAGGTGGTGTACTCAACAGTCTATCCCCCCTGAAAATCAAGACGTCCCTGATGCAGAAGGTGAGAGAAATGTCAGAAAATCTACAGAACTGCTGTGATTGTTAGGCAGCTGGGAGAGATGCAAACGTGCACCAATGCAAGCAACAATGAAGGTCAGTTTGGGTGTTGGAGGCTTATTTTCTTTAGAAGGGATAAATTCACTTGCTTTACACACGTTGCTGTTGAAATGTTTAGGGAAATTAGTTGGCTTGTTGTAGGATCAGATATTTCGATTTATTTATTTGATTTCAG